CACCACCCGACACAGCCAACTAATAAGGGTTGTCCACGTTAACAAAACGTGGCAATTCGTCACTAGTACAGCACTAGTGTGTAGTGTATAGTGTAGTGTATAGTAGTGTAGTGTATAGTAGTGTAGTGTATAGTAGTGTAGTGTATAGTAGTGTATAGTGAAGTGTATAGAAGTGTATAGTAGTGTAGTGTATAGTGAAGTGTATAGTGTAGTGTATAGTGTAGTGTATAGTAGTGTAGTGTATAGTAGTTTAGTGTATAGTGAAGTGTATAGTAGTGTATAGTGAAGTGTATAGTGTAGTGTATAGTGTAGTGTATAGTAGTGTAGTGTATAGTAGTGTAGTGTATAGTAGTGTAGTGTATAGTAGTGTAGTGTATAGTAGTGTAGTGTATAGTAGTGTAGTGTATAGTGTAGTATATAGTAGTGTAGTCTATAGTGTAGTGTATAGTAGTGTAGTGTATAGTGTAGTATATAGTAGTGTAGTGTATAGTGTAGTGTATAGTGTAGTGTATAGTGTAGTGTATAGTGTAGTATACTAGTACAGCACACCGGTGTGTTGGAGAGCCAAGCCACAACATTTACAATCTGAGTTACGACGTTTCGCCAGTAATTACAACCAGCTTCATCAGGCGGACAACCAGATTTGTGAAGAAACCCACCTGTTGCGTTCCTTATATCGAGGCGTAGATGTGTTGACGTCACATGTCTAGAACTTCTTTTGCACCGCCCTACCTAGCCAACCCGCTCATCAGAGGTACAGGGGAAGGACAACACGCGAAATACGACAACAAGAAGCAGTACTACAGAAATGGGTGAGAAGTCTATGGGTCTCTATGTGAGTCTATCGGTCTCTGTGTGAGTCTATGGGTCTCTGTGTGAGTCTTTGGGTCTCTGTGTGAGTCTATGGGTCTCTGTGTGAGTCTATGGGTCTATGTGTGAGTCTATGGATCTCTGTGTGATTCTATGGGTCTATGTGTGAGTCTTTGTGTCTCTGTGTTAGTCGATAGGTCTCTGTGTGAGTCTGTGGGTCTCTGTGTGAGTCTATCGGTCTTTGTGTGAGTCTTTGGGTCTCTTTGTGAGTCTATGGGTCTCTGTGTGAGTTTATGGGTCTCTGTGTGAGTCTATGGGTCTCTGTGTGAGTCTATGGGTCTCTGTGTGAGTCGATGGGTCTCTGTGTGAGTCTATGGGTCTCTGTGTGAGTCTATGGGTCTCTGTGTGAGTCTATGGGTCTCTGTGTGAGTCTTTGGGTCTCTGTGTGAGTCTATTGGGTCTCTATGTGAGTCTATCGGTCTCTGTGTGAGTCTATGGGTCTCTGTGTGAGTCTTTGGGTCTCTGTGTGAGTCTGTGGGTCTCTATGTGAGTCTATCGGTCTCTGTGTGAGTCTATGGGTCTCTGTGTGAGTCTATGGGTCTGTGTGTGAGTCTATGGGTCTCTGTGTGAGTCTATGGGTCTCTGTGTGAGTCGATGGGTCTCTGTGTGAGTCTATGGGTCTCTGTGTGAGTCTATGGGTCTCTGTGTGAGTCTATGGGTCTCTGTGTGAGTCTTTGGGTCTCTGTGTGAGTCTATTGGGTCTCTATGTGAGTCTATCGGTCTCTGTGTGAGTCTATGGGTCTCTGTGTGAGTCTTTGGGTCTCTGTGTGAGTCTGTGGGTCTCTATGTGAGTCTATCGGTCTCTGTGTGAGTCTATGGGTCTCTGTGTGAGTCTTTGGGTCTCTGTGTGAGTCTATTGGGTCTCTGTGTGAGTCTATGGGTCTCTGTGTGAGTCTATGGGTCTCTGTGTGAGTCGATGGGTCTCTGTGTGAGTCTTTGGGTCTCTTTGTGAGTCTATGGGTCTCTGTCTGAGTCTCTGGGTCTCTGTGTGAGTCTATATGTCTCCGTGTGAGTCTATCGGTCTCTTTGTGAGTCTATGGGTCTCTGTGTGAGTCTGTGGATCTCTGTGTGAGTCTATAGGTCTCTGTGTGAGTCTATGGGTCTCTATCTGAGTCTATCGGTCTCTGTGTGAGTCTATCGGTCTCTGTGTGAGTCTATGGGTCTCTGTGTGAGTCTTTGGATCTCTGTGTGAGTCTATAGGTCTCTTTTTGAGCCTATGGGACTCTGTGTTAGTCTATAGGTCTCTGTGTGAATATATGGGTCCCTGTGCGAGTCTATAGGTCTCTGTGTGAGTATATGGGTCTCTGTGTGAGTCTATAGGTCTCTTTGTGAGCTTATGGGTCTCTGTGTGAGTGTATAGGTCTCTGTGTGAGTATATGGGTCCATTTGTGAGTCTATGGGTCTCTGTGTGAGTCTGTGGGTCTCTGTGTGAGTCTATGGGTCTCTGTGTGAGTCTATGGGTCTGTGTGTGAATCTATGGGTCTGTGTAAGTCTATGGGTCTCTGTGTGAGTCTATGGGTCTCTGTGTGAGTCGATGGGTCTCTGTGTGAGTCTATCGGTCTATGTGTGAGTCTGTGGATCTCTGTGTGAGTCTTTGGGTCTCTTTGTGAGTCTATGGGTCTCTGTGTGAGTCTGTGGATCTCTGTGTGAGTCTATAGGTCTCTGTGCGAGTCTGTGGGTCTCTGTGTGAGTCTATAGGTCTCTGTGTGA